AAGCTCCATTGTGAGGAATTTCGTTTAAAGGACTTTCGAATTTTGGTCGCTAAATATTCGCTGGCTGGTGGAACTAATTTGCAGTAGCTTAAAAACAACATTGCCGTGTCCATCTTACCACTTCCGGGGGAGCTCCTTGCACCGACCAGAAGGTGGTTGCTGCTTTCGGCTGACCTTCATCGATTCCAAAACGGCTGTGATCTCATGATGGCTGAGGGCAGTACCAGCGATCAATTACTTCCTGGGTCTCGCATGTTTGCTTGTATTGGCAAGCACCTTTAATGTAGACGATCAGAAACGTGACAGCTAGCACGGAAAAACTACCAAATTACAAACTCAGGGCATTCAGTTGAAATAGGTACTTAAAAAACTCTTGAAAACATAAGATTTGACCCAGCTGCGAGGCATGAAAATATTGGAAGTCGCTCTGGTGTTAGAGAATGCGTTGTTTGCCTTGAGGTTTCATAGGCATATTTATTACTGATTGTTGCTGACATACGGCCCCCATCTTTTAGATTGCATTTGCGCTGGTAAAACTTACTCCAATAAGTCCGGAGTTTGGGTTCGGTCTCTTCATCATCGGTTCTGCACCAGGCGGTGGGGCTTCAAACGTATGGACACGCCTTCTGGGTAGTGATCTCAATCTCAGCATCACCATGACTCTGATCAGCTCTCTTGCTGCCCTAGGTATGTTGCCCGAATCATCCCCCTCCCATCGCTTGAGTAGATGGGACCATCTTTTGTTTATTTAATGTCCGCATGATCTTTGTTCTTTATGCACTTCCCAGTAGTTGGAACAATCAGATATTGTCCTTGAGACCCTAACATATCGATTGGGCTTCTCACTCATCCGGCTAGCTGACAGAACATCAATTCTTTCGGTAATTTATACGACCTCAGCGCACGGCATTGGGTGGATCGGCAGAGTGGCATGCACAGCGAGTCAGTTAGGACGGTTCTTCCTAACATAGTTCTTGTAAAATGAACGATTCAATGAGACTTATAGCCCACCTTAATACAGGGTTATACTGCACGCATCAGCAGCCGTCATCAGTACCGCAGTTTTGTACTGTATGAAGGGTCCAGGAAACATTCTGTTTATTTTAATTCCGCCTGGAATTTACAACCTTACTGTTCATTTCCTTTCTTCCCGGCAGGCATGATCCCTTTGCTCTTCGTCACCCTCGGTAATCTCATCAAACCCCTCAGCGTCAGTCGCCTACCTTACGGCCTGATCACTGCTCAAATTCTTGCCATCTTCCTGCCTGTGGTGGGAAGCTTGCTAATGCGTCGATTCTGCCCTTCACTGGCTGACAAACTGCGTCTAGGCATGCGATCGACAGCTCTCATCTTCCTGCTCTATGTCATCATCTTTGGCTCGGTTGCTTACCTACCCATCTACCGGCTTATGGCCCGATACCCCCTGTTGCTGGCCGTCGGGGCCATCTTACCCTTCACAGGGTACCTCATCGGATTCATTTTCGCCAAACTTCTCTGTTGTCCCTGGCCCTTAGTCACGGCTATCGCTATAGAAACGGGCGTTCAGAACAGTGGCGTTGCCATTCTCATCCTCATCAATGCGATGCCTCAGCCTGAGGGCGATCTAGGCGTTATTATGCCGATAATCGTGGCGCTGATGACTCCCTTGCCTCTCATATGCATCTTCTTGGTCCGCTTGGTGGTCGGATTGATCAAACGGAAAGAGGCAAAGGTGTCCTCAACTGAGTCAGATGATATTGATGTTCTTTAAACCAGACAGCGTTTATACATTGTGGTCTTACCTATCTCCAAGTCTGCTTCGAACCTTCTCCCCCTGTCCTGACCTTTCGCCTTTATGCCTTCGTTGTTTGGTATTGTCAGTTTTATACTTTCTATTGCCTTTACTTTCAATTAGCTTGTTCTGATATGCAGTTTTCTACTTTCTTGTTTTGGTCTCAAACGCCTGGGGAGGGGAGGAAGAAGAAGAAGAAGAAGAAGAAGGGAAGCAGAAGTTGCACCCCATTACGACAAACAATAAGTACTTACTACGATTTGCTGTGCCTCCGTACTCCGTTCTACAAACACGATAGGTCGGCAAACGTCAATTCTGACTTTGAATACATCCGAGCACGAACGACTCATTGTTACAACCCTTAAAAGGGCCGCATGGTATATGCGCTGGACCAACAAAGGGATCGGATAAGGGCGTAGTAGGCATTATTCGGGTTGCGCGCCGATAACGAACGCCGAACATAGAGGCGAGATGGCGCGCATTGATGCAGGCAAACACCACACCAGCTATCGTCGCCTGATCTCGCCTCCGGTCCACTTGACGCTTTCCGGACACCGGACGCAGGTGAATGAGGGAAGAGAGAATTTGGTAGCTGCAGCGCGCGTCTACTATTACTTAGAACTAATCCATGCGTAATTCACCGTGTTTGCCTTCAACTTGCAACATCGTCTAAACCGACAGTCGGATGTGACCTCGGGCGTAGTAACTACCTAAAATGAATACACTGTTATGTGTGCCATCCACATGCTTTCTAGCGCAGATACTTCTAAAAAAGAAGAAACTGCAGCCTCAACTGAAGACTATCAAACACACCAGTGACAGTCGGTTTGACCAGAGATTATATTAAGCAGAGTGGCACACCGAGTTTAGGTCAAAGTCAGAATGCGGCCCACTGTCATCACTCACCGCAAGAAGTAAGCGCTGATCCCCGGGTGAACGAAAATTGACAGTCTTAGTTGCGAACGAAAGTACGGTTTGGGTAGACATAAAATATATTAGTTTATCGAAAGGCAGGCATTCTGGCTTCTGACCCAGATGCTTTAGCTATCTAAATACTCGCGTAAATGGCTGATAGAGGATGAGCGTGGAACTTTCTTGTCGGTTGCTCCGCTTTTTCAGCCTCCCACTGCGCTCACACCTGACCTGAGCTAACTCAAGTCACCGATTACCCAATTATTGGCGACTGTTTCCATTCTGCAGCTGCGCCGAGCTGCTGGCCCATTTTGACGTTCCTCTAGCCGAAACCTTCGGCGTTCCTGCTTTTGCTTTAGTACCGCACATATCTGCCGGTATCACGTGATCTTTTATGTTTAAGTGCGGCGCTGTATCGCAGGGAAACCCCGCGGCCGGAGAGTAAATACAGCCGAGCTCTCTTGTATTCTACCAGTCTATCAACAACTGTAATAGCCTGCCTAACCTATGGTCGGTGTTGAGGCTTAGTTTGACCGAAGCACTTCGCCACTCGGGAACGCACAGGCCAACGCGTCAACTGATGCATGTGCCAGGGAGCCAGAAGACCGAGCAATCGTCATGCCCAACTCTAGCACAGGTAATGAAAGTTCAGCAGGTCACGAACCACACATTGGTCATTGAGCAATTAGTGTATGAGAGGGCAAACATCCTCTGTAAAAGGGGATTCGTTAATTGTCATAGGCGTATAGTAGCATAGCGACTGTATCATATAAATACTGCAACTCCTTGTGTATGAAGTATCCGTTTCTGTCACTGTCTCTGATGATAGATCCACCAGGAAATCGGAAAAGTTAGACAAACAAAATCATCGTTCCACCCATCGCATCTGCTTCTTCTCGCTTACTTCATAGAACCTACATTTTAGCTTGGATTGGCAGCAACTTTTTCGTGTGCCGAGATGCCAGACTATGTTGCTTTTAACTGTTTGCTCCCTTTTCTTTTCCCTGTTTGCGTTGATGAATAGACGCACCCCCGGAGGAGATACCGCGCTGCAATAGAGTGGGAGGGCAAGGTCGTTAAGTGTTTGATTGTTCATACTTACTTAACTTGTGGTTCCTCCTGTCATTATTAGTTAGAGTTTGTTGATAGCTTCTTCACGCTTTCACTGATATTATCTTCTTGCATCTCTAATTCTCTCTCCCTATCAGTGTACCTTACGGATGATAACGATGTGGATAACTCACTTCACTGAATTACTTTGTCCCTCCCAGACGCATTCGTCTGGTTCAGCATTCACTGGGATGCGCTGTGTCGCACACGCCCTTTTCTCTCACGCTACCATGCAAATTCGCCGGCACAGATTGACGAAATCACTCTAAAACACCTGTCTGGTGCCTCAACTGCACCTCTGCACGGGTTTCAGCACTAGTCTTGCCTCAGTTTCGAGCAACATCTGTCGCCAACGTCACACTCTCAAACCGGCATTTGCACTTTATTTACTCATGCATTTCATTGTCCACCACACAGTCGAAACCTTACTTTGGTCGGTGTCTGAGGAGAGAGTAGTTTTAGCGCCTTCCAATTCCGGCACCCCGCCACGCAAAAGGTCAAGTCATTGCAGATATCGATCTGCCGCTGGAACAGCTAAGCACAGGTGCCACAAACTTATCAAGTTTCCAGTGACTCACTCTCGCATGATGTTTACGTGTTCACGTCCACCACACAATAGCAGACAGACTTGCGCATAGACTCCGAGCTCGCCGCACGTGGGAGCTTCAGACGATCACTGAGTTTCTGTACACAACTCCTACTACTCTTTCCCCTTCTCTTCCAAGGGGAACTGGGCGTGATAACTGTAGTGCTCTGAGCACATCTACGGCTTAGACCTCTACATACTTACCCATTCCGGCAACAATAAAGTTCGCCGAGTTACTGAGATATCCCTAGCCCCAGGATTCTGTCTTACAAGAGCGGTACTAATAGGAGTTTTGTGGTTGAGTCATATCACAGGAAAGAAAAAATAAATAAAACATAGAGCGTATAAAACCAGAAAAAAAAGGAAATAATTATTTAAATAGCCAAAATTTGCGCGCGACAATTAAAATGGCAAATACAATCAATAGGAAACAAAAACTGCGCCAAAATGCCAACAAACAGGCTGTACACCAATATCGATTCTATGTCGAAATTTAGAGATTTTAATAAAACGAAAAAAGATAGGCCTTTCCTCCATTCTTTTAAACTCACAATAACTTAAAATGCATTTGGAAAGATATTGTACTACGATCAACTGAAAATCAACTGCATGTTGCTGAAAAAAATTAATTGAATCGAAAATTAAACTGACTAAAGGTAAACTAACAAACTAAACAATAAACTTGAGTTGACCCAATTGTGAAAAAACTCGAGGCGTCTGGCGGGATTTGAACCCGCGCATCAGAGGAGGCCTTTGCCGGAGGCCAATACTCTAACCGCTAAGCTACAAACGCATCGCCTCACGCCATGAATTTAATCACACAATAAACTAAAAAAAACTACATGGAGCTAAAGATTTTGGTGTTTGTGGATATAATGATAAGCGTAACTACGCCTATTAAAATGCATATGGTAGCGTCTTTTGCTTTTATCACAAGGTGAACTGTAGTCCAAGAAGGACGCATTATGCAATCAGACGGCTGCGCAATCATGCCCTACGCGTTTAACCTTGAGTTGTACGTGCAAATTGCACATCCGAAATGGCAGCCTTTCTCTCTGTTTGTATTTGTGTGTGTATGTATGTTCAGAAGGGGGTGTTTTCCTTTTTAGCACTGCGTCCATCCTACCTCAGGCGACAAGTCAGCTAGATGGTGGGGGCAGAGTGATGTCGACCCTCAGCGCACTTCTCTCCTCACTATAGTCAACCTGACGCGCTTGTAACTATCACGGTGCACTAAAAGCCGTTTCTTGGAGGGTTGCCAACTGGCGGGGATAAATTGGACACCGTAGTCGGCCCAGCGTGCCTTGTTGTGTGGAGTAGCTAACTGCGAGCCGAGGGTCAGGCTCAATGGCTCCTTCTTAATGTGGCCTTTATGGCGCTCCCAGGCGG